CAACATAAAATCAGAGCTCAGTGTTCAAATATGTACATGGCTTTACTTTTTTTTTTTTTTACTTTTTTCCCAGTTTTAGTCAAGCAATAATATAATTTACCAGAACTCTACAAATCTGAACAGAAATAAGCACCAACACATCAAATTTGTTGGACTTCTTGTTCCCATGCAGACGTTGAATTATTGGCCTGTTTTCAATCACTTCGGCTGTTTCCGTATGTAAACAAACACAAGTGGTGGCATCCAATCCCAATTTGTGCTTAAAATATCTAATGTAAAGACATGTTATTTATTTAAATGAGGGGGGGAAAGTATGAATTTTGTTTCCTCCTTGTGAATTTAAATAGTAATGTTTTGGTATTAGTCTTCAGGACTTCACAACCTTTAAGCTGCACCCGTTTAGAGAAAACAACACTGCTCGCTCTCGTTTCCATGATCATTTTGAATCCAGCCCTGTTTTCAATCAGCTTGCTGAATAGTGACAACCCGCAAGCCAGTGGCATATCCCAAGGCACCAAACCCAATCTGGGTGCAGCACAAACAGTCTAAATTTAATAGGACCTCAAAAAGCACTCCACATCTCCCTGTGGTGAATGGCTCAAAGGAACAAAAACATCTGTACCTAACGTGAGATGATCTCCGCATCTGGTCCGATTGTTTCAGGGGTGTGGGCACACGTCGACAGCTGCGACCAACCACTCCCAGATGTTTCTGATAGGCACGGTGTCTAACTGTTTGCTAAGCAGAAGGTGATCTTTGATCCTTTAACGGCGTTGGCTGTAGTGTTATGGTGAGCAGGGCCTGAAATCTTCTGAGAGGCACACAACGGAAGCGCAGGAACCTCACAGAAGGGCCTGTGGTTCTCTGTGGTAAAAACAGGCATGGTAAAGTGGCTTCAGCTGTGGAAAAGAGCTCTTTGGAAACCACCCAGTGTTTCTCTCCAGACCCAGTTGTGCTACTGGCATTGTAACAGAAGAAGTCAACACAAGTATAGTATAACCCTGTGATTTACAGTGGAGCAGAAACAAAAAGGACTGGAACCCTCAAGTGAATTTTTAAGTGAAAGACGTAAAAATATTTGAAACACTGATATGGTGCTAAAATCTTGAACAAAAGTATTTATGTTATTGGATTCAGCTTAGTTTAGACATTCTTTTTCCATATCAATGTCGACTGGTGCATCAAAATAGGACAATGAAGGCACCAAAGTCATAAATAACCTTTTTTTTCTAATGCTGAGAAGAGAAAGAGTTTTCCTTGACAAGATCACACATGGCTGAAACCTCTTTGAACTCCTGAGTATCCTACCCCTACATCCCAGTGCAATAAAGTCCTAACCATCCCTGTCAGAACCGTGACAGGCTTTGTACACCCACAATTTTGGTTTTGAAGGGACCATATTTTAAAGCCAAACCTTTCAAACATATCCAACATCTTTGGGCCAGAGGGCTGTGTCACCCCCACTCCCTCTAATATCTGATATTCCTCCAATATCTGTGTGGCTTGACACTTTAGCTAACGTCCAATTATGAGTACAGTTTGAAATAAACTCTTGCAATGTCAAAAATGGATTAAGCTGCATATATCTGTAACAAAGAACATTATAGTCTGTGACCAGAAACAAAAACACAAAAAATAACAAATATAAAACCATGAATCTGAGTTATTTGAAAATATATCGGAATAAAACTGATACTGTTTTGTTGGACACTCTTTAAGCAGAAACAGCTGATCATTCACAGCCATGCTGGCTCTGTCAGATCTCTCAGCCACTAGATAAAGTTTTGTTGATTCATCATTTGACAGCACGGTATAATAACATTTGGTCTTAGAATATATCTAAATATCCATCTTCTCTAAAAATGATGCAGAAAAACGGGTTCACTGGTTTATTGCGATGGTTTTTCTGGATGTCCAAATACTTCTTTAAAAAGTTTTCAGTTGATCTAAAATGCTGCTGCCAGAGTCTTAACTGGAGATAGGAGAGATCATATCTCTCCAGTTTTAGCTTCTCTCCATTGGCTCCCTGTCAAGTCCAGAATTGAATTCAAAATCTTACTTCCAACCTACAAAGCCCTCAACAACCTAGCTCCATCTTATATTTGAGATCTTATTGTTCCATATTTTCCAAACAGAGCACTTCGCTCTTACACTGCAGGCTTACTTGTGGTTTCTAGAGTTTCCAAAAGCAGAATGGGAGGAAGATCTTTCATTTATCAGGCTCCTGTCTTGTGGAACCAACTTCCAGTTTCTGTCCATGAGGCTGACACATTATCCAGTTTTAAAACTGGGCTTAAGACTTTCCTTTTTGATAAATCCTATAGTTAGGGTTGGCTTGTTATGCTGCCATAGGCTTAGACTACTGGAGGACAAATTGACCTCATTTCCTAAATGAATTGTTAAAATTAAATAGTTTTCATTTGATATTATTTCTATCTCAACATGTGATTCTCGACCTGCCATTGTGTATCTGTTCCTCCTTCCTGTTCCTCTCAAACCAGCCAGTCGAAGCAGATGGCTGTTTGTCCTGAGCCTGGTTCTGCTGAAGGTTTCTTCCTCATGAGGGAGTTTTTCCTTTCCACTGTCGCCTTCATGCTTGCTCAAGATGAGAGTTCTGTGATGGAGTTAAATTCAAAGCAGTCTGCTCCTCAGATAAATGGTGTTAAATTATTATTTTTATATATGAATGTTTCTTTTCAGTGCCCTGAGACGTTTTCCGTTGTGGCTTGGCGCTATATAAATAAATTGAATTGAACTGAGAATATAATATATCATTAAAAATATTTTCAGTTGTATTTCAGGTTCCTTAGAACTAATCTTAGTTTCATTCAAGTGAAGAAAATCCTGCTACAGAAGAAAGTTTGATTTCAGTGTTTCCTGCAGAAGAAAAAAAAAAAACATAATTTTGCTGTGAACTTCTGAAACACTGCAGACCTCTTACGTGCACAAAAATCAGTTATGTTTATTGAAACACTGACAGCTGCAGAAAAAATAAATACGTTTTGTCATACCTGGCAGGTATCCAGATTTTATTTTTGCTCAAAAGCTGTCAGGAAACAGAAATATACCGATACAAAGGCAAGAGAGTTTGGCATGTTCGCAGGATCTGAGCAATTAAACAGTAAAAACTGAAGAGCGGACAAAGAAAATTTCATGCGCTGTCATTTCAGGAATATTTAGTTCAAAAATGTCATTCAAGTGGTTTTTAGTGGTTTCTACTCCACGGGCAGACGTGTACCATACACAGCTGTGTGCTATAATTAAATCACCAGAAACCAGAGTAACATTCCAGACAATAGCAGATTTTTTTAGGCTAAACCTCACAATGGATGCTAAATGATCATGCATGGCCCTTTTTAACTTCAGAGGCTTCCCTTCAACTAAAACATACTGAAAACAGCTAACTGCGCCAACCTGTCATAAATCTTATAAGTATGGTGCATCTGGGCAGTTTAAACACTTAATAGTGTGAAGCTGCTGATTGCTCGGTCTTCCAGCATCCTCAGTCTGTGCATCACTCCCAAACTCTCAGGCAGAGGTGACCCCTGTTGGAAATATACATGAACAACAAGAAGTATTTTTCTGCAATGATCAACAGTCTGCAAAGAGGCCTAATTATTGAAGAGGTCTAATTTTCTGATTAACTTTAAATTCAGTCACTGCTGTTGACTGGCGTTTCAGTCTTTCTAACCATTAAACAAAAGCAAAAAGAACAAGTTGAAACAACAACGATGTAGAATAGTCTCCCTAACATGGACAGCTCTTTTCAAATGCTTTGCTGAACACAAGTAGGCCCTCGTCACTTCAACATCAACACTTTTAGATTTGGTCAGACAGTGCCTAAAAAAAGTTCTGCTAAAAGGACAACCGAGAAGAAGTCCACTTTAGCTGAAAACCACCATCCCTTCAAATAGCTGAACCACAACTATGTCTACATGTCTTAGCAAGATGCATGTTCTTCCTAATCTACTTTATGCTAAGACTGAGTGGAAAAAAAAAGGCATGTTGGAAACAGATAGGCATAAAAACAACAACAAATACAGATAAAAATAAATACATTTAAAAAGGCAAATACATTTCTAAAATCTTAACAATTAAATTGCATTGTTAACATTTTTTGTAAAGATATAAGATTATTCATCTTCTTCTGCTAGATGCTAGTAATATGAATTATTTAATTTCTTGTAAATCTGAAAATTTCCACAAACAAAAAACAAAAAAAAGATAAGATTATTTAGTTAACGTCTATGTGCTATAACATTAGAATAAAATATTAATCATGAAATTGTTAAAAGTAATGAATAGATATATTTGCAATGTTAAGCACAAGACAAATCATACAAATGGTATTAAAAAAACTGCTTCTAATCATGGTAGAGATAGGCAAGCAAGTTTAATTAGAATAATAAAATAATTGGATGATTATTAATACATAATAAACATATTAGATTAAATAGGTGGTAAATGAGTTTACAGTGTAAAATACAGAGTATTCTCCCATTTTTGAGATGATGAAAAGAAACACCTGGAAGTTTCCAACTTGTTAAATGTGTGTCAGAATAAACAAAGGAGTATTCCTAAATAAAAATGAATTAAATAATGCAAATGTTCTTTTTTTAAAACGAATAAACAGAGAAGCAGTCTCAAGTGTTCAATCTTAATGGAAAGCATAAAGTGCTAAAACATTTTCTTTGTTCGTTGTTTTTAAATGTTTTCCCTGTAGTAACATATATATGTACTATTACAGCGGGTTGATATAAAGAATCTTTTTTCTTTTTTTATTATTTCATAAAGGCGATCCATTTTTTACTAAATATCCAGAAAATAAAACGAAGCGTTCGGTTTGTCCAGGAAGCACGCGGAACAAAAGTCTAGCAAGTGTTTCAGCCGGAACTATAATTCTCAGGGATTTTTTTTCTGTTTACAGCGTGGGTTTACTTGAACGCATTTACTGACTGAACAAATAATTAAAGCACATGTGCGTAAGAAATTATTAGTGTTGGTTTAGCGATTTTATTAAAATGAGTAAAAAGCGTCGCAGCGACTTCCCGCCGGAGTCGGACCCTCCCGAGAAAAAAGAAAAAGTTCCGGAGTTCAATGGCACTGAATTTAAAGCCATGCTTAGGAATCCCACCACAGCCATGAAGGGTAAGCGTCTCTATCACCGACAGCTTGTAATGAGTTATGTAAATGAAGCAAGACAGCAAAAGTTGTTCAACTTTTTGTCCCGTCCTTTTTGTCGCTTTCAGGACTGAAAAAATTCACATTAACTGCGAAGAAGCTGCCATGCTCTGACATGTATGATGTGGTTGAGGGCTACATCAAAATATCTATGGAGTGTGCAGAGATATTCAATCTGCTGGAAGGAGAGAAACACACAGAAACAGAGGTGAGCTGAAGTATATTTGTCAGTGGGCTGAACTGTGCATGTTTTCTAGCTTACCTCTAATCACACCATGAACTAATCAAAATTAATAGCTAATCAAAACCATGTTTTTTTTTTTGTCTAGTTGATGCTGATTTTCGAGAGCTTGCAAGCGATTCTTCTGAGAACAGCCAGTGACCTCTCCCTCTTCGCCTTGGTTGGCAATGCTATTGTGAATAAGATTGTTTCTACGTACATGAAGCTTCTCCAAGAGTCTTTTTGTTCAGCAAATCATGGGTTTGTGCAGTGACTCAGTGCAACCTCACGTTTCTGCTCGCACACGTACTTCTGCCCATAACCTCGCTGTTGTGAACATGCAGGTTTGTCCGCCAGTGCCTCAATCTACTGTCAGCCATGGTGTCCCAGGGCGTCAATGCCGCCAGAGAAGTCTTGGATCATATTCAAGTTAAAGCACTTTTTGGATTGGCAACAAGAAAGGATAAATGGGTGTGGCTCTGATTTGTTGTTTTTTTAAATCAGTTTAAACTGTGCTGGTACTGTAAATATTTGACGTCTTCTCGATATTTTTGCAGGGTAAACCTGATGTCCGCTTGGCTTTTATCCAGTTTGTGCTCTCCTTTTTGGTGTCTGGGGATAGTGCAGTCATCAGACAAATATTAGAGTTTAAAGGTAAGGGTTTGTTCCACATCACTTCTAGGCATGCTAACACATTTTTATAACAAGCTTTATGTTCTGGGAAATATCTTTTACTGAAAGGGCTTTAAAAGATTTTCACTAAACGACACAAAACATTGTCATCTGTCACAAAAATTGGTTTGATTTCTACACATTTTTAGAGCTGGCCATGGAACTTTTAGTTAATGTCTTTACATCAGTGTTCAGAAGCATTAGAACAATATTCTGTCAACTATCAATAAATAACTAATAAAATAAACTATATTGACCCCAAAAGTTGAGTTTGTTTCCACACAATAATTATTTGAAGGTTCAGAATGACATCATGGCCATTTCTCAAATAGGAAAGAAACAACAAGATGACAAATAGAATTCTGGGTACTTTTCTTATTTATGATCATCAATAGTGATTCCTATTATTCCAACCCACTAGCCATAAAAATAAAAAATATATATTTTTGTTAGAGAATGGTACTGCAAGGTAGGAAAATGACACATTTAGTGGTTGTACTCGGGTTTGCAGCTGAGTCAGCACTGACATCTTTTATAACTCAACACGCTTTTTGTTTGATGCATTGATCATTTCTGTTGTGACTTGGCGCTATATTAATAAACTGAACGGAGTTGAATAACAAGTTGTTTTGGTGGATTAGAACTCCTGCCACACATCTTGGCTACGGGTCTGAAGGAGGACAGGGTGTCAACAGTCAATTTGATTTTATCAACACTCAAGTCAAGAGTAAGTGTTAAGGAGTTTACACATTTAAATTCAGTTGGTTTATAGGTTTGGAAAATGTGTTTACTGTTATTTATCTTCACGTAGGTCGTTCTCAACAAAGCTATTACTAAAACTCAGAAAGTGCGTTTTTTCACGCCAGCTGTTTTAGCCAACCTTGCGTCTCTGTACAAATGGGACGGGATCGCAGATGCAACCACAGATGACGACATGGTTAGTTGTTAACTTTTTGTCTTATAGCAGATAAAAATAGCTCTGTTGAATCTATATTTGCTTCAAAAGGTGTGTCACTTTTTCTTTTACCTGCGTTTTTCTAAGACTGCAGAAGACTCTGACTCTCCTGGGTTATCGGTGGTCCGGGGACTTGTTCACAGCTTTCTTCTTGACTTGTGCTGCTCGTATAAGTATGGCATCAGCTTTCACGATGCTAGCTTTGGCACCGCGGGCAGGTTAGTACTTTAATATTTTCTGTTTTGCTTTCTACTTTGAAAACGCCTCGTGCTGATCATGATATTTCATGTTGCCCAGAGCTGGTAATCTCATCTTGCTTCAGTTCGTGGTTGGACTGAAACAAGCGACCGAGGACGAACTGGTGGCAGATCTGGTGGTGAACGTGCTGAAAACCAGCCCTGACGTTCTGTCCAGATATTTCAAAGAGACTCAGTTTTCATACACCCCACGCCCCAGAAGCGCTTGGCAAGACAATGTGAAGTTTCTTAAAAAGGTAAATGTTGTTTCTGAGATTGTTTATTTATTGTTATACGCCTGTTGAAAGACGTATGGGTATAGTCTCGGTCCATATGCACGTCCATAAATGATCTCTTGTCCTGACTGTAACTTTGATCCGCTCAAGATCATTTAATAAAACTTGAAATACTTATGTTTAATCACTAGACGTGATTTGTGTCCACTTTTCATCGCCCATCTCCAAGATCAAGGTCACAAATCAAGGTCAAAGTTAAAAACAAGGGCTTTTCTTGTTCGGACCGTAACCTGATCCGCTCAAGATAACTGAACCAAATTTGATGCACATTTGTACCACCACTCGACGATGTGTCGTATGATTTTTTTTTCATCACCCCAGCTTCAAGGTCACAAATCAAGGTCAAATATTATGCAAGGTCTTTGCATGTCTGGGCCATTGCTACAGATTGCTGTTTTGTTGTTGTTGGATAAATTCATTACCGTTTCATCACCTCATTTATCAAATAAGCCACTGAGGAACGAGAAGATTTTCAATCCAGTTTACTCCTTGCAAGGGGGTCAGAGTTAACACGCAGGCTTACACAGATGTTACATGAAGCTCTCGTCGTAAGGTCTGCCCACAGACGGTATAAAGAAACATCTGTTTATAATGCTTTATCAAAGAGAGAGGTCAAGGCAGCCTCTGCTGTCCAGCTTACAGATTTGAAGGCGTCAGAAGTTATCAGGCTCCTCTCTGAGTCGACAAAAAGACTTGACTTCACACACATGGTTTTATATTAATTTAACATTAGTAAGTGAAAACATCCATGACCTTTACATAAATTCCCCCAACAGTTGTATAATAATTTGTCGACAGGCGTATAACGTTCTGTATGCAGTACTCTTATGGACATTTGTATTGGTGATGACCTTTTTGTGCATTTTCACATCAGATCTATGAATCCCAGCCAGAAGTTTCCACAATCTTTCAAAACCGTGAGATGATTCCTTTGCCTCGCTTGCTGTCCATGATAATGGTGATATCGGTTCCTCCAGTCTGTAACAGGGCCTTTTTCTCACAGAGCCTCAAAGTAAGTCACTTAATAATTTCACATTCTATATATATTTTTCTGTCAGCACTGAAACAAACATATCTGTATTTATCTGACAGCTCAACAACTCAACAGTCCACCTTACAGCTGTGTCCATCATGAATTTCATTTTGAAAAAAGCCATTAAGAACATGGAGTATCTTTTGGACAAGTCCGTGTGGTCCAAATCGGATGTATACACAGAAGACATGATGAAGGACTTGGTGCAGCAGTACAGGGAGACGCTCGGCAAGGTGAGCTGAGAGGTGCTGTTTTCACATGTGCAGATGGCAGCAGTACACCTTCACATCATCTTCCATCCTGTGTTCCAGCTGTTGCCCGACATGACGGACATCATCTCAACATGGCAGTCACTTAGCAAGAAGGAAAAAGCTGAAGATGATAAAAATAAAAAAATAAAAAGTCCAGAGTGCCCTGAACAGACAAGTAAAGAAAATGAACTTCCTGGTAATAATCTTTTAATACTGATTTTTTTTTTTTTTATTATTCCTATAAAGTGATACAGATGGCTGTAAACTAACGGTGCTTTGTGCTTTATTATCAGTTGCTGATGCTGCTGAGGTCATTCTGCTGAAGGCTTTGATTCTTCAGGTCATTTGTCTTTACCAGAAAGTGGTGCCTCATCTGGTCATGCAAAGCAGATTTGACTTCAGCAAACTCCTAAAGGGTAACATGCTGTTGATTAGATCTACTATTGTTGAGTTGAGATTAAAAAAAAAAAACCTGACGTGTAATGGATTGAAAACTTCTTTAGGAATCGTGTCTGAAAAGGGAATAAGGGAAGAAATTCCCCCCATCCTGCAGTATCAGATTCTGCAGTTGGCTTTAGATCTTCCTGCCAGCAAGTTTTCCTGGTGCCGAATACAGGTGAACAAGTTTTATTCTATTCATCATATTTGTTGCGGGTAATTTGTTGTTTCTAACTTATTGTTTAGCAATTAGTGATAATCTTTTTAAGTTAATTTCTGTTTCTAACAGGACATTGCATCCTCTGAGTCCTCATCTGGAGAGATGTCGGTACTTTACCTGCTTCTCAAAATGTTTGTGAGCAGCAGCAACAGCAGCTTCCTGAGATCCTCCACGCAGAAGCTGGTTCTAAAAGTAAAGACCATTTTCTCTTTTTGCTGTGCTCTAGTTTTGAGCCTGCACCATATGGTCTCACTGACTGGACAACCTTTTCCCTGGAAGTTGAAGCATTATTGTCATGAAAAAGACGAGTGTTTTGTTCTTCCTGTAATTCTTCCAGGTGCTGAAGGACACCGGGGTGTTTGAGTACACTCTGTCTGAGGTTGAGCTGTGGCTTGAACAGCTGGCCCGACTAGAACCAACCCACCAAGAGACGGTGGTTCAGTTCTTGGAGAGGGTAAGTCTACTCCTCTAATGTCTACGATTTAAATATGAACATTTTCTAAATATTACTTTTGTTGATTAAAATAAAACAATTTGAATTTTATTAGATAGTATCCTGATTCATGCTCAATAATCCAGGTAGAAACATCGAACAAAGTTCAGTCAGGTCCTCTGGATGGTTTATTTTTGTTGAAACGTTGCGTCTTTCATCCAGAAGACTTCATCAGAAAAGTCATCACTTTATAAGACTGAGTTTGTTGTGGCTCCTCGGACTGATGAAGTTTTTAGGATGAAAGACGAAACATTTCAACAAAAACATCAAAGTTCATGCTCAATAATCCAGGTACATATCCAACAATGTTCAGTCAGGTCATCTGGACGGTTTAGTTTTTTTGCCGAGACGTTTCGTCCTTTATCCAAAGGACTTATTCAGTCCGAGGAGCCACAAACGAACGGATTCCCACAAGCACCACAATCCATCCATCCATCCATTATCTTTACCCGCTTATTCCATTTTGGGTCACAGGGGTCGCTGGTGCCCATGTCCAGCAATCACTGTGCGAGAGGCGGGGTACACCCTGGATGGGTCGCAAGTCCATCACAGGGCCACATAGAGACAAACGAGACAAACAACCATTCACTCTCTCACTCACACCTAGGGACAATTTAGAGTTACCAATCAGCCTAACATGCATGTTTTTGGACTGTGGGAGGAAACCGGAGTACCCCGAGAAAACCCACGCATGCACGGAGAGAACATGCAAACTCCACCCAGAAAGGCCCCTGGACCGGGGTTTGAACCAGGGACCTGCTCGCTGAGAGGCAGCAGCTCTACCAGTTGCGCCACCGTGCTGCCCCACCACAATCCCATAGTGGAAGAAAACAGTTTGCTGGTGATAAGCTGATTTCTTGGACCCACCCTCTCCCCCCATCCACCACTGTTTGTGGGAACCAGTTTGTTTGTGGTTCCTCAGACTGATGAAGTCCTTTAGATGAAGGACGAAACATCTCAGCAACAAAAGAAAACCATCTAGATGACCTGACTGAACATTGTTGGATTTGTACCTGGCTTATTGAGCATGAACTTTGATGTTTTGAACCAGTTTGGCGTGGCTGCCTAAGCGGAGTTAACGGGGGAGAGGGCGGGCCCCAGAAATCATCTTATCACCAGCAAACTGGTTTTTTTTTTCCCACTATGGGAGTGTGCTCCTTTTGGGAATCCATTTGTTTGTGGCTCCTCGGACTGATGAAGTCCTTTGGATAAAGGTCGAAATGTCTTGGCAAAAAAAAGAAACCGTCCTGATGACCTGACTGAACTTTGTTAGATTTATTAGATGAAGCTAATAATAAACTTCTTGCCTCTCCAGGTTTTGATTAAACTGGTTTGTAGTTCCCATGAATACACGGATAAAGTGGCCAGCTTTGTCCAGGAGGCCGGTCATCTGCAGGCGAATCTGAGCAGCCAGGAGGGCGACGCAGTCAGTATCCCAGTCTCACACATAGACGGTGAGCAGTAAAATGTGGAACTGAAGTTGTTGTCCACCAACTCTATAAACATGTCTGTGAAGGTTTTGTTTTGAAATCTGATCTGCGTGTCCATGTCTCTCAGACGTCTTAGACATGCTGGATGTGATTATGGAAGGTAGTGATGGTGACATGGAGGAGTTTGGACCATCTCTGAGTGAAGACCTCATCGTCCAAACGTTCCCGTTCAGTGCGATGGTCCCTGCTGCGCTGGAAGCTCGAAACAAACTTCCAGCAGACAAGGGTAAAATATTTAAACCTCTCGGTCCTATTTAAAAATAAATTAGGAAATAACAGCTTGTTTTTAAGCTTCAAAATTGTTTGTATGTCTTTAACCATCTGTAATTTCCTCCCTTAGGGGTGGTATGTGATTATTTGTCTGCAGTGCTGTCAGACGTGCTGCACTGTCAGAGAGACCCCCTCCCCCTCTGTCTGACATTGCTGCAGTACGATAAGGAGCTTGCATCCTCCCAACCCGCTGCTTCTTTTCATCAGTCCATCAGACACCTGCACCAGTATTACTCCATGTGGCTGCCACAGCAGTGCCATGAACAACTGGTCAGTGCCAATAACATGTTTACCGACTCGTGGTTTAACTTCTTTAATCGTAAAATGCGTCATCTTTATCCTTTTTTTTAACGCAGTTCACGTCTTCTGAACGCCTTACAAAGGAGCTGCCGGCCCTCTCCTCTTGCACTTTACTACTGAAAGCTGCGTACGTTCAGGGACCAAGGGCTTTGCTTGAAGATACCTTCAGGCAAAATGTAGAAAATGCTCTTGCTTCCATGCCACTGGCAGAGTTCCCAGTTGTAATCAAGCAGATTTTACTCTATATCAAATCAGCTGTGGAAAACTTTGACACGGTAGGAGCAAAAATTCATTTCAGTACTCAGGGAACGTGTGAAACCAACAGAAATAAGAATATGTCGCTTTGCAGATTTTCAAGGACAACAGGGGAGCTTTTCTGGGAATCCTGATGGGAATTCTTCAAGATTTAGTGGTTAAACTACAAAACTTTGAGGAAACTTTGGACTCTAAACCAGCTGCAGAGAAATCTCAACAAGAATCTGATCTCTTTTTGGGAGTCGACGAGTCGCCAACGGTCGAAGCCAATAAAGAGCAGGTAGGTGAAGAGTTACTCATTGAAGCTGCCCTTACTTGATTCTTTGCGTATTCTGATCCGACACCATCTGTGTTTAGATTCTTGTTTCAGCGCTGACCTCCATCTTTAAGCACCCGTGTTTGGAGCAGTGGTTTCTGGCTCTGGAGCTGGCTGCATTTCCTCCTCACTCTCTGAAACCTGTTGCTCTGAAGCACTTGTGTGCTCAGATGACCGATAAGATCCTGACCCTGCTGAAGATGAGCGCTCCTGCTCTGAACGACCTGAGTCGCCTGGAGCTTCTTTGTAGTTACATGGGGGCTTTAGAAACAGCTACTCTGAAAGAATTAAAGGACAAGGGTTCTCAGCCTCTCAAGACCCACTCCAGAACTTTTCAGTCACTCTTGTCTTTTCACAGCTACATGGACTCCAGTTTTCTAAAGGAAGTGGTGTCCTGGTTGCTGCTCCTTCCTCATGACCGCCTCATCTGCCCCAGCAGTGAGGGGACGCAGTCAGAGCTGAGCATTTACGGCCAAGTAGCTCTGCAAATCCTCACAAATTGTACATCTACTTCTTTTCAAGACCACAGCAGGTTTTTGACTCAGGCTCACCTTCATGGTCTTTGCTCCCTCCTCGTGTCCTGCTCCAGCCCTGAGCTGGAAGCCTTTATGCTGCAGACTCTGTCCTCCGACCCAGGCAGTGCCAAGTTAATCCACACAGATGTGCTGCTCCACTGTCTCCAGAACCCTCTTCAAAATACTCTGGCTATCAGCTCTCTTCTGCTGGAAAACTGCTCTTCTCATCGCCTCCGCTTTGAAGTCTGGTGCCTAGAACCATCAAACATGGAGACGATGTCAAAGCGGGAAGCCTTCCTTCCCCTTATTAACACATATTTACAGGTGGCGAGTAGAGAGGACCCAGCCAGGCCTAAAGATGGTTTGTGCTTAAAAACTAAAAATTATATATATTCAAAAGAGTAAAGCATCAAGGATTGATGTTTAACTTTATTCTCCTATTGCCACCTTTGTATAAATTAACTTTTTTTTTATTGTTAATTTTTTTTTCAGTGCAAACAGAAGTTTTAAAAGCTTTGAACCGAACACTGCTTGCCAAACTGTCCTCGAGCATTCTGGGAAACCTGGAAGAGGACTCTGGAGTCCGGTTAGAAACCGCTTCAAGCCTCATCAGGCTCTCTGCAGACAGGAACGACATCAAGGATTTGATCAACGATCTTCCAGATGTTCTTCAAACTGCCGACGGCTTGGAAAGGTAAACGTCACAGCAGCCCTCAGCTAGAGAAATTGTACTTTTAGAGAAAATATGTGAATGCTCAGGGCTGAATGACTCTGCAGAAATTTTCCGAGGATATCTTTGCTAGATGAAGCGAAATGCTAGCTCAAAGCTAATAGTAATGCAACTCTAGCTAAGAGGAGCAAAAGGTCAGCTAAATGTAGCAAATGGCTAGATATAGATAAAACTTAAAAGTAGCAGAAAGCTAGCTCCATGCAGCAGAATGTTAGTTAAAATATAAAATTAGCTTAAAGTAGGCTAGAAGCTAAAATAAATAAAGCCTAGCTGAAAGTTGTATAATGCAGCTAAAATCTAAAAGTAGCCGAATGGTTGCAGTGTTTCACCTAGATAACTTGCCATGGCGGGGCTCTCATCTCATCCATGATTTATTTATTTATTGTGGTGGTGGTTGGGGGGGGGGGGGAGTTTTAAGGGCCTTGCTCAAGGGCCCAGAGTGGTGAAAATGAGGGTGGAGTGCCATGTGTTTCATCTTCTCCACCCACATTCTAATGTTATGGTCAGCAGGGGGATTTGAACCGGCATCCTTTCGATCACAAGATTATTTCTCTAGCCTCTGCGACATCCAAGAGATCTCGATGTACTTATATGAGAAAAATGAAAATATTCATAAATAAAGTTAAATATTTAGAAGAGTGTAAGTTACAAAACCATAAGTCATAGCACCCATCTCTTGAACGAGCTCAACTTTTTCATATATGAACAGCTAAAATAGCACAAAGAATGCAAAAGTAGTAAATATTGGTTCGTTATAAACTTCTTGTTTCTGTCAGGTGGCAGCTAGCTGATGTCATCACAGAGAAACTTGCTGATTGTCCCATTGAACAAGAAAAATGGAGAAAGTCCGTCACCGCTGCAGCCTTTAAGTGTCTGATTGCGTCATACTGCCTCCATAAAGATCACGCAGCTTCTCCATCAGCTCAGGAGCAGAGCGTCCTGAGAAGACTGCAAGACCTTCTGGTGGGTTTCTTTCTCCTATGTGCATTTCATTTGCAAGAGAGTTCTTCATGTGCGATTTTTCTCTCGTCCTCAGACGTCTCCTGAAGACGTAACTGCATCTGACTGGAACAGTTTTACCAAAACTGGACTGAGGTAGAGGATGCGTTCTAATCCAGTCTTCTTTTGTAAAAACAGTGCAATGTAAAAACTGACAACTGACTTGAACACGTTCATAAACACTTCAGAAATCGCTACAATAGCCCCCACTTCCTAAACGCTCTGAGTGACATGTTGGAGCTGATGTACGGAAGCAGCGAAATCCAAAAAGATCTGATTCCTCTGTCCACCCTTCATATGATGACCAGCAGCCATTCTCAGTTCCTGCCCACCATCCTGGACTTCAGTGAAGAGTCCACCAGTTGTCAAGCTAAAGGTCTGTTGCCGTCGTTGATCTTTCTTTATATTAAACCCTAGAGATGTCATGATACGTATATTTGTCCTGTCACGGTGTTCTGATCGCAGACATCTGCGCTGGAGGGAGACGAGATGCAGAGGTGTCGAACTTTGTTACAAAAGGGGCTGAAATTAAACCAAGTTTCAGTCAGTACGTTAACTCTTTCCTAGGTTGTAGGTTCCTCGACAAAAGTTTCATTGCTCTCATTAGACATTCTCTGTTGCTCTTTCTGCATCAAAATCAAAGATTACAGAACAATTCCAACAGTTGTTTTGGTCTTCAAAGTTGGCCAAGTGTCATGACAAATCTGCTCTAAATAAAATATGCTCAGTTTTTAAGTAAAATGAGAAGCAATAAAATGAAATGAACGTCTTGGGGGCCACATAGGACGTTAATTGCCATATTTGGCCCCCGGGCCTTGAGTTTGACATGTGACCATGGCAAGTCATTAGTATGTTTATTCATTATCCCTGATGCCAAGCCTCATCTTCACACTCAGCTGATTGAGAAGGTTGTTCTTTAACATTTTATTTATTTTGTATTTTCACAGTGGGAGGTGTTTTTAGTTCTGTGTTGCTTTTTATTTTGCATGATGTCTGGGTAAAATTATTGAAGCAGTCACTCCTTCGTTTCTATTTTATTGTATTTTATTTTTGGTGATATTGTCTTAAGATATAACTTACTGGAATTTACCAAACTTTCTGTTTGATTCATGGTCTGCGTTTTAATCTTTACAATTCGTACTGGATAAAAAATAGTACCGTAATTTTCGGACTATTGAGCACACCTGAATATAAGCCACGCCCACTTTATTAAAGTGGGGGGGCTACATATATAGGTCGCGCTTGTCTATAAGCTGTGGGTGTCCATGTTGTAACAATATATTTGCATTGAAAGATTATGTAAAACTTTTAAATAAATACGTACAGTAATTATTATTTTTATGAACAGTGCCTGTTTTATGGCTAGTTAATAAAAAACAATACAGTAGCTTACCAGGAAGTCGTTGATCACTATTGAAATCTTCCTCCTGAGCACTGCACCCATGAGCTTGTGCTGTCCTCTTCATCATGTTTCCCTCCTCCCTGGGGGCACAAGGGGGAGGGGAGGAGAGAACAGGAGATTCTTTTCCTCCCCCTCCCAAGTGGTTCACTGTGACCTGTTCGTTAATTTCATTGGTCAGATTTTTTTTAAAACCTTTATTGATACAGGTGGTCTCATTGAGTCATGAGGACCCACCCCCCAAGAGAGACGCATATTGGGCAGCTTAGTGTGTGAGGTGTGTTGAGGCTAAATGTTTTTGCAGCATGAAGCTCGTTAGCCCGTCAAAAATAAAAAAAATCCATAAATTAGCCGCACCATTGTGTAAGACACGGTGTTGAAAGCGTGTGGAAAAAAGTAGTGGCTTATAGTCCAGAAATTACGGTACACTAAAAGGTCACTAAAATACTAAAAGTCTGACTTTTCCATTTTACCATGAATTTACCCGTTGAGAAATCCTACATTGAAGTACACGACTGTACCGTTGAGCCTCCATTTCAAGGGTTCCCCTTCTCTACTTCTGGGAGATTTTATTGTGGGTAAAAAAAAAAAAGTATTTTGTTTTCACATTAAATCGAACATGCACTGAACTTTGATCGTCATACCGCGATACATACTGAATCGTGAATTGGGCGTACCGTTACACCCCTAATAAACACACTCTTGTGTATTTTGTTGTCATTTCAGAGGCGTTGGTGTCTCTTCTTCTTTGTTTGGTGAAGAAGTGCCCGACCGTCTGTAACATCAATCACTTTGTTGTACTTTTGGCAGCATATGGAGCCACTCTTTCTACTTTAGGTAAAATACTTCCATCAGTCATGAATTAAAATGTTTTTTTTCATTATTATTTGTGTGTTTGTTTACTTTATCTGCAACATATTTTGTTTTCCAGATCAAAAACTGTTGCAGCTGCTCCAGGAATATGAAAAAAGCAAAGTGAGCTTGCTTGGTTTTCAGTAAGTTTGTGATTTTTATGTTGCCCTTCATGGAAACACTACTCTCTGACTCGGTCCTGATGCTGAGTGTTCACCTGCAGGTCGTTGTTGTGGGGCCCCGCAGCTGTGGAGCATCACAAAACCAGGAAGAGCCTGGGGGCCTCTCTGTGGAAGCAGTCGAGCTCAAACGATGTGCTGACGCTGCTGAAAGCCGACATGATGATCCAAACTATTTTAAAGTTTCCACAGAACCGCAGAATCTTCCCTCAGGTTCATATTTTGAGTCACTTTTTTTTTTTTTTCCCAGATTTGCTCTTTTAAATAAAGCTTTTGCCAAATATTTAACTCTCCAAAGAAAAGATGCTGTGGTTTCGAACTGTGTGCAACTTTTAAACACAGGTTTTCGTTTTTTTTTTTTTTTTTTTTTTTCAGAAAGTTTCATCATTTTCTGCTATTTCAGCCACTATTTAGCTGTTTTGTGCAAATTTTAGCTTTTTCCAACTAATTCTACATTTATTGCTCTCATTTCAACTTTTTTAAACCTAATGCAGAAAAAATGTGCTCTCAAATTCCTTCTGGTAATTTCACATTCTTTCTGCTTTTTTAGCTGTTTTTCATCTGTTTTTTTTTTTTTTGCTAACTTCAGCTATTTTCAGATAAATTCTACTTTTTTGTGCTCATTTTTGATTCTTTCAGCATAATTTGGCAAACATGTTTCTTCTGCTAATTTAAGCTTGTTCTACCTTTTCAGTCACTTTTTTTTTTTAGCTAATTTCAGTTGTTTTCAGATCAATTCAAGTTTTTATGGTAATCTTTGCTACTTTCAACCTAATTAAATTCTTTATGCTAATTTCATCCTGTTATGCTCCCTTCAGCTTTTTTATGCTATTTCAGCTACAATACTATTTAGCTGTTTTTAATGCTAATTTTAGCTTTTCAGCTAATTCCACTTTTTTTTTATTTTATTTTTTTTAGATAATTTCAGCTCTTTTCGCTTTCTTCTGGTAGTTTAAGCTTCTTTCTGCCTTTTTTACTTTTCAGCTATTTTTTGTGCTAATTTCTGTTAATTTATACCTAATTTAGCAAAATGTGTTATTTCTGTTTTCTTCTGCTAATTTCGGCTTGTTCCTCCATTTCAGCTACATTTCAGCATGTTTTTAGCTAATTTCAGCTGTTTTTCAGCAAGTTCTTCTACAATAAGAATTCACGCTGCATTTTCGCAGGAAATGTAATTTCTCTGTTTATTTAATTTTCTCCGTTTTGCTCTCACTCAGGACAGCAGAGAGCTGCTGTCCACTAACGACGCTGTGAAGGACCCTGGAAGTTTGTACGATCCATGTTTTCTTTTGCCTCTGTTCAGCGCCATCTTACAGCCAGGTAAGGGTACTTCACTGCTTGTTGCCTTACAGAAACACTAGTTTACATTTCCAGCAACACTTTTTATCTGCTGCATTTATTTTCGTTTTTGTGACAGAGTGCGTTATCGACTGCTGCAAGTTTGCATCCAGCCACGCTCTCGGAGTAACTGTAATGGCTCTAAGTAGCTATGACCCAAATGTGAGAGCGGCAGCGTATCATGTGCTCAGCTGTTTCTACCAACATCTGGAGGCTGCTCGCTTCAGAGAGAAGAGACAGGTACGTGACGAGTAAGAGCTTTTTATGTTGTGTGTTTGGAAATCACGCCCTAAAACACTGATGAGTTTCTGTTTTCCAAACAGCTGCTTTATTTAATGAACTTTGTCAAGAATGGGATTCGAAAGCAGAATCAAAGGCTTCCGTTCGTTCTGACTTCTTACATCAACAAAGTGGCTCAGCTGATGCTCAGACCTGGTGTGTAACCCTGAACACTCTAGAATCAACTGAAACTGACTCAATAAGGAAGTTCCCTTTTTCTTTCTTTACTTGTATTTTTATAGAAACAGGTTAATGCTGTAGCTGGATCAGGGCTGTTGACGTTGTATTCTGTTTCCCCAGAGGACCACATGTACGTGGTGTTGAACAGGTTCCTGCTGTCCCACCAGAATTTGGATATGAATCGAGTCCCAGAGTTCTTCAAGAATTTTTTGGGCTTTGAATTAGAGGTAAATTAATACCAGTACATAAAATAAAGTATTAAACACTTTGTTTTTGTGCTAAGTTATTAATACGTTTCTTGTGGTATGTAAACAGGAATTTGTAAATGACTAAGCCACTTTTTTTTTGTTTGTTTTTGTGCCAGCCAAAGAATTGACTTTGTGATTATCTGTTTATTTGAAAGGACTTCAGCTGTAGGACTCAAACCTTTTTTTTTTTTTGTAGCACAAGATTGAACGGGAGTGGATGTTGAACTTGCTTGAGGAAGGGATAAGCGATGGACATTGTTATGAACTGTGCTGCCAGCAAGGCATCTTTCAGGTCCTGCTGGGCTTCAGCAGCAGCCCTCTGTGTAGTGAACACTTCCAGGTACACACTGCTGCAAATACAACCATTCTGTATACTGGATTTATTACAGCTTAAGTGAAAATGCAGCGCAAGTGCAGAGTGCTAAATTACCAGTTTATACCATAGTTAATATTTGCCAAAGAAGCTGAAACTGAGTTGTTAAAGCTAAAAGCAAACAACACCAACTAAAAGCTAAAGGAAACAGAACACTAGCTTGAAGCAGAAAGGAGCAAAACACTAGCTAAAAGCTAAAAATAGTAAAAATGTTAAATAAAAGCTAAAGGAAACAACACCGGCTAGAAGCAGAAAGGAGCAAAACACTAGCTAAAAGCTAAAAATAGTAA